CAGTGCTAATCAGATAAAAAAACAAAAGCAAAAACAAAAAAACTTCAGAGTGTCTTTCATCTAAAATTACTATATGAGTCTCCCGCGGTTCCACCGGCTTCTCTCTTTCTTGATGGCATTTCTCTTCATCACTGACTTCTGTGCAGTCCTGGCTGTGATGAAAAGTAGCAGCCATGGGCATCTGCTAAGGTCTGAGCAGAGTCGATGGGCTCTCTTTGCTGAACAACCGGTAGGGTTGACAAAAGCCATTTCAGCTCCTGGTCTGCAGGCTTCTTCCAAAAGGACCATGCTATTCATTGCCCAGCTTTGCTTTTTTGTTTGTTTGTTTTTTCTTTCTGCCTAGCTTCAGGGAACCCCAGTGCACACACACTTTCATTATGTGAATTCAGGTCTGGAACAACACCTCAGTGCCACTGTGTCCTAAGTGGCAAGTGTTGCGGCTGTGTCTTGGGACCTTGAGGGGAATGAGAGTCTCCCCTCCCATTCCCAGGCCCACCCAAAGCGGAGGGGCGAGTGGAGAGTGCCAGTGGCCAAAGGCAGCAATGTCTCTGGACTGCATTTCATGTTTGACCTTTCCTGAGAGAGTCTGGCTCAGGATTGGGGCCGTTGTCTCTGTGAAATCAGACAGAGCTTCTCTCTGAGGTCAGCTTGGCCCCTCTCCTGATGAATGGTGTGTCTTTTTGCTCTCCCCTGACTCATGCTCACTGAAATGGTTGGTTGTGCACCTTCCTCCACCCCTCTTTGTGTCTCTTTTAGATCATCTAAGATCCTTTTCTCCGAACTCTTTGAGAGTGAGCAGTCTTGCTCACAGTCTGTCGCTAGGATTTGACACCGAAATGATAAAAATCAGTCTTGATTTGAGAAGGTTAAATACCTTTATAAATAATAAAATACATCTTACTGAATCCAACTAAGAAATATACATGCATATGTTTTTAAAACTTTCATAATCCAATTAAGAAATGTACATAGACAAACAGCCTGTCTTTTCAAAGAAAATTTTTATAGTGACTTACTAAAGAAAATGAACCATAGAATTTAGGACATAGGATTTGAGGAGGACTGGAATAACTTGCAAAGTTCTCCAATAAAGATTAAAGGTGGGGAAGCAAGTTAATAAGCACTAACAAAAATTACCAGATTATATTTCTTTTTAAAAAAATCCCTGAAGAAAATGGAACTCATTAATTGCAGTGCTCTTTGAGGTCATCTGCTCACAGGTTTGTGCTAAAGACCACCAGGGAGGGCACCAGCAGCAGATTGCTCAGTGTGTGCAACATACAGGACTGCCATCTCTCCTCAGATGAGGCTCCACTGTGGACCCTGCGGTGAGAATACATGGCCCTGAGCAAGCTCCTTCTTTTTAAAAAATATTCTATTTATTCATTAGCTTCCGATAAAATAAAAGAACAATAATGAGAAGGGGTTTAACAGAGACAGTTGGTTAACTGTTTTGATTAAGTGGATATATTCTCTCAGAGTGGAGTTAGGGAAATCAATCACAAATAAAAACAAAACCGTCCTCAAGGAAGAAAAGATAACCGCCTGAGATGTAGCCACAGGCCCTGAGTCACACATCCCCAGCACTGAAAAAGTTTGTTTATGAAGAAAGACAGGACAGAATGTAGCCCTGGTCCCCGAGGTCATGTTGGGGCTGACAGGTACTCTATATGGAGGTTTGTGGGGGAAGGATGGTGGAGTTTAAGACATGTTAAAGTTGAGCTGATGGTATGGAGGCTAAGTTATGTAATCTTTTTGTTCTCCAGTTTGATGTCTACAAAAATTGTTTCATTGCCATACCCAGAGGTATTGTAGTGGGTATTTTCTGAATCATAACATCTAAAGTAACTTACAGGGATACAACTGGCTGGATGGCAACCATGATGATGATGATGATGGTGGTGGTGGTGGTGGTGATGGTGGTAGTGATGATTTTGAAGTGGTGATGATGGTGATGATGATGATAGTGATGATGATGGTAATGATGATAATGAGGAGGAAGAGAGAGATGAAAGTTCTCTGAAGTTTGAATGGATCCTTTCCTCTGGCTTGTCTGAGCAATACTTTTTCATATCATTCCTTGCCCTATTGAAGCCAGTAAGAATAATCTGCAGAACTTACCCAATATTAAACAAATAATAGGTTACTGGTGAGATGGAAGAGGGAGAGAAGAAATATTTGAAAACATCAATGCAGTAAGGAGAGTAAGAAAATGGAAAGACAACCCCCCCAACAAAAACAACCCAAATGATGTAATGAGGGACTAATACTGAACACTCAGACAATAAGTGTTATTAATACTGCAGTGCTGGTATTTCGTTTCTCAATTGTGGGTTAGTTTAGGACAGGCTATGTGTTTGCTGGCTCTCACCGGCTTCATGCTTATATAGCCCCACTGATGGGCTGCTAGTATGGTCATCCCTGTCTAGATATGGCAAACCAAGGTTTGAGGGGTTAAGTAGACTCCCAAGCTTGGGCATCTATTAGGAAGTGAGAAGGGGATTTAAGCTAAGCTGACTTGAAGTAGGTGTGTTTCATCAGAAGTAAAGCTACTCATAAACAAGCTGTTTGTGAATTTTTTCTGCCTCATAGTACATGGGTTTTTCTGTCTTTTGTTAATTGCCTGATCAAAGAGAAATAAAAACCATGAAAATGCCATATAAATTAAATATCTGATTTGTAAACTGTATGTAACGTCTTTCTCTTCATCATAGTAAGACTGACTAAAACAGAAAAAGCAATGGCTGATAGAAGAGCTGCAGACATCCACCCGGAATGGTTGAAATGAAACCTGACTAATACACAGACATCATTATAAGGGGTGATTTTGCACTATTAAGTATCATTGACATTGTCAGTGTAGTCAGCAAGAGTTTGTGAGACTTTCTAGAACGTGAGGACTTGGATACCTAATTGAAATAACATATAGTGCAGGCTGCACTGGCAATGAATGCTAGATTCAGGAATTGGAAATCATATGCCTCCAGGGCAAAGCCAGCTGGGTGTGTGACTGAGTTGAGCCAAATGGAACCAATTAATGTCGACTCCTTTGTGGACCCACGGTTTGTTTACCAAGTCCATTCGCTGGTGGGAAGTCAAGTTTCTTTATCTTTCTTGTTTGTAATTTAATTTGCTAATTGGCCTTTTAAAGTTTGTGGGAACTTCGGGTTAAGCTGCAGAAATCCAGATTTTTATAAGCATGTTGGATGCAACTAAGGAAATGTAAAAGTTGTTTTAAATTTACATGCTAACTATGCACCTGTTTTCAATTTGTTGCCTTGAAAGATGTTACTTTCTGGAATAAGTTCAGGGAGCCAGAGCTGTATTTGAAGCCGGAGATGGAAGGAAGCAGGCATCGGGATGCTGAAATCAATCTTAACAAGTCACAGAATTCCCCTGGCTCTCCCTCCCTCTGTTGTAATCAGCAGGGGATTGTAAGGGAGAAGCTGTACCCAGTTTTCCTATACCCACCTATGTGGCAGCAAAGAGAGCGAATTCCAGTGGTACCACAAAATTAATTCCTCCTCATGATTCTAAATCGCAGATGCAGGGGCCATGTTCCAGGTCAGCATGGGTTTAATGTGGAGGATGGAAGCTATGATGAACAAGGGTCTTATGTTTTTCAGGGCAAAACTTGATGTTTAAAACCAGTGTACTTTAAGAAAGAATCCATGTGACCATGTGTGAGAGTCACTTACTTCTTTTTCTCATGTCACGTTGTTATATCTCCAGAGAGAGCTGAACCTGTTTGCCCATCCAATAGTTTCACTCAGTTATGCTCTAAAATACTCTTTTAGGTCCACTTTTTAAAAGTTGTTTATTATGTGAATGTTTTTGTCAATTTTTTTCCTGTTTCTTGGAAATACGGTATTCTTATTTATGGAGACCTGAGATGGTTTTATTTACAAGCTAACAGGATCATTAGCAAGAGTAACCTTGTTTAAAAAAATTGTTTTTGACAAACAAAAAAGGACTCTTCACTCCTAATCAGTAACTTGGTCACTTAAGAACCAATTCCTCATTTACCCAAAGTCTGTTGTTTTAACTTCGGCACAGTGGCTGCGCCTTCTTCTACTGCTACTTCAGCCAGCAATTGTGACTCTGCATGTGACTCTGCAGCTACAGGCTTGCTACTCTGCCAGTGCTCCCGGCTGCCTGGCGGGAATCCGGTTCCCACAGGCACCAGATCTGCCACTGACGCTAAAGGTAGCTTTAACTAAATCTCTATCATACTATTTATAAATAAGACTTGAGATCCAAAGGCTGGGGTGAAAGCTTGCTTTAGAGAGGTTGAATAGCATCTAGCTAACTTTCTCTCCTTGCTGGTGTTTCTGAAAGAGAGGTCCTTCTGCTCCACCAAACAACAAAAAAACCCGGCCCACTCCAGATCCCTCCCTACTCCTTCCGGTGCATGGCTCTATTTCTTCCAGATGCTCTCTGATGTTCCATGATTACTTTCTGTCAGCTAGTTGCTTCTCAGCATCATGACCCGTGGTTAATTGTATTTAATTAATGGAAATGCAAACTCTGGGTTCACAGTGTGATTGAATATTCCCCAACAAATGTCTGCTCAAGCTTTAGGCTGTGGGACATATCAAAATCAGTGAACAAAGCCTCCTTCAGTTTGGGAGGTAAATATATAGTGGACCTACTGTGTGGGTTGGTTAACTTTGAGTAATGTCTACAAGCATATTCTGGCTTGTGTGTGTGTGTATGTGTGTGTGTTTAAATGCCAACTCAGCATGCAAAGCTGTATTGAGAGGGAAAGTAAAAATCTTAGACCTACACAGTATGATCAGGCTTTGTAACGATGTTGATCCTCTTGACCACAAACTTTCAAAATCTATTAGTCTGGCCATTGGAGCCATGATTCAGTCATCTGCAGGAAGGTCCAATATGACAAGAACCTGTTTTAAATGTGGAAAGCCAGGCTGATCAAACCCCTCTCTGATAAGACCCAGGGAAAACCTCCCTGAGGAAAAAATATCTTATGGTTGCAGGGGCGGCCCGATAGAGGATGCAAAGGATCCTGTTTGGAGACATCAGCCCTTTAGATGTAACACTCATCCTGATATTAATAGTCGTGGTGGTGCTCTGCTGCTGCTGGTGGCTGGGATGTCATGTGCCCGGAGAAGAACGCACCTGTTGCTGCTGAGATGCTTTGGATAGGATTGGTAATATCTATCTTCTTGAGCACCCAAGCCAAAACGTCTGCCTTGACCCACTGATTGAACAACTGAGGCCCGCGACCTTGACCAGCTGATTAAACAACTGAGGCCAACAAGAAGTGCAGGAGATATTCTTTGGATTGGATCCCTTATATGGAGTTCTTTTTGTATTTTAATGTTTATAGTAGTATCTTGCTGCTGCTTTTGGCTACGGTGTCATGAACCAGGACAGGAACGCTTGTGCTGTCTAGTTTAAGGGTAAAACTTTGAAAGATTATCATAAAAATGAGGGCCGTTTATTGGATGATGATTTTTATACTACAAGCCTGGATAGTTGATGCAAAAAATATGATGCTCTGGGCAGTGACCAGGGCTTGGCCAGTTCCCATGCCAGTTCACTTTAATTCTTCACTGTTGCCTACCCTGTTTTCTACTTCCTGTGATATGGATGCACCCTGCATACCCACCCCAGACCAAAAGATTGAGAGCTTTAATTTAACCAGTATCCAGTTAAATGGTACTATGTGCTTTTCTCTTAAAAGAGGCTCTCCTTGCATCAGACTCAAAAGGGATAATCTCACTAACTGGAAGGATCCCTTGGTGGATAGTAGAGTGGGGTGGATATATTGAGTGCAGCGCTTGTGCTGATAGCCGCGGGGGCAACAGAGGGTTCTGGACAAAGCACCAAAGAATCAAAGTTAAATGTCACCACATTGGCCATGAGAGTTAGCTCCCTGGTGCCCAGGCCGAACAATTATAGCAACAACAATGCAATAGCTTTTAAAGCATCACCCCACTGTATTACTGAGTTTTCATTTCCACCAGCCTTTACTGCTTGCCAGGCCAAGACCTGGGAACAAAAACAAGTCTCTTTTGAATTCTCCTTATCCCCATCTATGAAGCAGTATATTTATAATAGTAACAACATTAACTCCTCCATTCAAGCGGGTTGGTCTTGGTTTCAATGGCTGTTGTCTAATGAATTGGGTACAACTACAGACATTTCTGCCCTGGCGCTTCTACAACCTACCACATTCCAGCTGCTAAATGTTACTGGCACAGTCCAAGAAAAGGGTTTTGATAGAAGGCTCCGTATTAATTGGGAGCAGGAGATAGCCAATCATACACTCCCAGGAGCTGCAGTGTGTGTACTCCCTCCCTTTATTTTTTTACTTTCTAATGACAATAATGGGTCTACTAAGCTTGATTGTAAAAATGACTCAATACAATGTTTTCTGTCTGAATGTTGGAATGGTAGTTTTGGGTTGGCAGTGGTACTACCACGTTTGTACCTCTTCCCATAGAAACAGACCCAAACCATTTTCCTGTCACTCTGCTCCTTCGAGAGCGACGTGACTTTGGGATCACTGCTGCCATCGTTTCTGCCATTGTTCTGTCAGCCACGGCTGCTGTTATGGCCGGAATAGCCATGGCCAATCAGGTCCAGACGGCATCCACTATTAATGAGATTGTTAGCAAAACAGCAGATGCTTTGGTTACACAATCCAGAGTTAATAAACATATAACATCAGGGATTATAGCCGCCAATCAGAGGATTGATTTTGTACAGACCCAAATTGATGAATTAGCTAGCTTAGTACAAATCGGCTGCATTGCATATCAGAAGCATGTATGTATTACATCCCTCCCTTTTAATAATTCCAGAAATGAAAGTTTAAGAATTGGCCAATATTTAGCAGGTAACTGGTCCCTAGAAGGAGAAATATTATTACAGGAACAATTATTTCAAATTGCTGTTCTAAATAATACCCGTGTACAGCCCATTACCCTTGGACAATTTAGTGATTGGCTTTATTCTGCCTTTTCCTTCTTTAAGGAATGGATAGGGGTGGGATTGTTCCTTGTTTGTTGTCTAGGAGGATGTGTATTATGTTTTTGGCTGATTTGCCGCCTGAAAGCCCAAACTTCTCGGGATAAGAAAATTATATTACAAGCCATGATTGCTTTAGAGAGTGGTCGCTCAGCCCAAACTTGGCTGGCAACTTTGGAAAAAGAAGAACGCCCTTTTAATGTTGCTTCTGAATCTATTACCACTGATCTGGAATTGCCATCCATAATTACCCATGATTCCTCTGGAAAAACCCCTCCTCATACCCACCTTAGATTTACAGTCCCCTCTGGTCCGGGTACAGGACGAAAATTCTGGAGGAAGTTTTAAATTTGGCCTTTCAGATCTAAAAATTTGGCCCTTTAAGATCTATCCCCATGGTGCCTTAATCTTGTGCACCCCATGAGACGATAGACTGGAAAGTCAGTGATGGAAGAATCGTTTAAGTCTAGATTCACCTAAGACAGGATGATCCTGGTGGGGAGGATGATCCAATGACAGGTAAGAACCTAGCAACGATCTTCCAACAGGCTCAGTCTCTCTCATTGGATTCTGACAAGAGCAGGTGAGGCGAAGAAATCCTTGACACTGAGGCCTTGCACGCTGAGGACTTGCTTCCATTGCACCAGCTTAGGCTCAGCCGGATATTAAGATTCGTCTTGAAAGACCTATTAGCTCGTCAGTTATTAGTCGCACACTTCGGCACCTAGATCCCAAATTAATCTGCCTAAGATTTTATTAGAGAGGGGGGAGATGTTGGAGCCCCAGAGACCTTTAAGTTGTAGCAGAACTAAGTGGCAGTTTGAATTGAAACAATTGGAATTGAAAAGTTATTATGAACAAACTGGTCATGCATACATTGGTTCCTGGAACAGGCTAAACACAAGGTATTCTATAAGATATATTTCCTCCTGTACCCAGGCCCGGTACTTTCCACTGCCTTTGTCCTTATCCCCCCGCCCTGCCTAAACCATCTTATAAAAATGAAATCTTGCTAGCTAATAAACGAAGCCTTGACGCAACTCAGACGGACTCTTTCTTTACGCGATTGGCTTCCACTTCTCTCTCCCCCCGTTTGACTCCTACAGGTGACACCCGCTCGAGACCCAGTAAATAACCTGGCCTGCTGGACGGGTCATAATCTCAATGTTGATTACTTAGGCCAACAAGCAATAATTTATTGTGCCAGAACCCTTCAATTTGGACGTGACTCCAGAGGGCAACTGGAGCATTTTGGTTGACATCTTGAAGATGCTTCAAATCTGCTTCAATATGGCAGCTGTAAGAGCTGGTGGTGTTTTAGAGGAATGGCAACTGCCTTTCAAAATGATTCTTCATGGCTGTGAATTGGTGCTGATGTTGGTGAGGACCTGAGATGGGCTTCCTGCCTAATCCCTATGTATGCCTGCCCTTGGGGCTGTTTGTGATTCATTTCAGCATGGCAACTTGATTTCCAGTTTACTGGTTGCACTGGGAGGGACCTAAACACCTTCTCTGATGTTAGGTATATCAAATAAGTCACAACTAAACTAAATTGACCTCTTTCCCTTTGCCCATATAAGTTGTTTATTTTAGGACCCGTTGGTATTTCTCACAGCATTTCTAACCTTGTATTTTTCTTTTGTTATTATTTAATGCACTTTCAATGTACACATTTTAGTTCTTGGTTAAGGACGAGAGACATTTTAGGATTTATAATGGTAATGTTTGTAACATAGAACTAAAGAATATATAAAGCATATATGTATTATTTCAGTTTCACAGGTGGTGGGGAGATGTCTGGGGGAGAAAATTGTCCATGGAGGCTCAACCAAAGGAACAAATAATATAAGAAATTTTAGGAACAGTGCATAATTTTGAGGATAGATTTGTTTGTCCTCTTTTCAACAGAACAGATTCCAACTCAATCCCAGGAGTCAAATATTACCATCTCTCCCTTTATGCTTGCAGCTCTTTCCTTTACTCTTCTTCTACAGCATTTTTCAGCTGTAAGGTCTGCTTCTCTTCTCCCTTGTCTGACATGACACACTGTATGCCACATACCTACAAAATTAGCATTTATCAGCCTGGATTAAAATGGAAGGAGGGATAGTGGGCTTTGTCTTAGTTCAGGGGTCTTCCAGAAGTAGTCATTGATATAAAGGATTGAGTATAAATTGATGCTTGTTCAGTAGAAGAGGCACTGGTACAGATTAAGTGAGTGGAAGACACCAATGAAAGGGATGTTGTAAAGCTAGCTGCTATAGAGATGTGAGTGGAGTGTGAGCCTTAGAAAAATATTCAGAAATATAAAATAAAACAATAACAACCAAAAAATTTACCCCCCCAGTTCTGATCTAAACCACTTGAAATGCCTGGCAGCTGAGGTGGGAATCTACACTGTCATATTCTCACCCATTGGTTGAGGACTTAGGGGTGTGAATTGTATTGTACCTTGGTTCTATGGCTTTGGAAGGAGTTTTAGTTGTACAGGCAAGAGCATAAATAGTGTTGGCTCTATGCTGTCTTTGTGCTTTAGGATAAATACAGTCTGAGACATGAGGATGCATGACCTTCGTTTGGAACTGGGCGACTTTCAATGGCAGTATCCAAGCTTGAAGTTCTCCTTTGTGAAAACAGGAAGCACAGCTGTCCCGTTCAATTTTGTGTGCCTCAGAGAGTGGCTGACTCAGTAAATGAACAGATTAATGCATCTGATTTAATAACCCAGAATGGGCATTTAAGAGGTGTGGTTTTTGTTGTCATTTCATGGAAGGCATGTGTTGTGGAATAGAATATTTAACTATGTAAAGGTGTGTTGCATTTGTTTATGCTCTATTTGTTTAATTATGTAAAGGTATTTTGCTTTTGTTTATGATGCATTTATTTGACTATGTAAAGATATGTTGCTGTCTTACCTTGCTTGCCTAAGTTACTTGATTGGTCTAATAAAAATCTGAATGGCCAATAGGTAGGCAGAGGAGGGATATATGAGGCTGGTGGGCAAAGAGAAAATGGGACCAACTAGCCAGACACAGAGGAAGCAGGAAAATTGGATGGACAGTGTGCAGATGAGGTAAATGAGCTTTGGGGCAGCACAAAGGGTTAATTTAAGTTGAAAAAAAATAGCTAGCTAGAAGCAAGTCTAAGCTAAGGCCAAGCGTTCATTATTGATAAT